CAGCTCTAATCGTTCTTTGCCCTTTTGGCGGTTTACAATACCGTAAATCTTCGAATTAGCGCCCGGGGCGCTTATTTCAAATTTAGGAGAAGACGCGTACGGGAGGCGCTTATTCGAGGGCGGCGCTTGTTTAATTTTTCCCAAATCGTGGCCTGACATGATCATCTTTTTAATACATCATCTGCGTGTAAACACCAACATAAGCTGTTTATTGACATGAAAAGCTGATCCTAATAGTTAAATCGCAGCACCGTTAGTACTTAACGTGTTCAACGTGTTCCCTAAACGTGCTCACAAACTGAAACAATGTACAAATCTAATACTACATGACGAAAACTATACATCCTTTGTTGTCTCATTATTAAACCGCAGCAACATTATCTCACAGACATTTTGGGCGTGCTATTGTTCAGGTTTCCGTAACCTAGTAATAGCTCTTATCGAAGTTGAGTACGCCACCCAAAAGATCCAGCGGTCTTTCTGCGAACAAACATCAAAACGAGGCTGTCGGGTCAACATTGATCAGACTTGGTTGCACTTGTGTGAGAAAGTGATAGCAAAACTTATGCACTCTGCCAAACATCTTCCAGAAGCGGCCTTCTTTTCCGCTGAGGAGAAGGTACAGTTACTTAGTGGTAATTGCCCACGTGATCTTACTAAAGAAAGACTAAAAGAGTGGTTGTCATTCCGCAAAGGGACGGCGAAGGATGGTAGTGCGCGGTCCGAAGCTACGAAGGCTGAGTTATCTCAAAGGTATAAAGATTGCATTATTTTTGTCACATATAATTATTGCCATTGCTTAAAGGGAATTTCGAAGCATAAGTTTCATATCGACTTGTTTTACTTGCCGCAGGGTCATCAGTTATATCAAAAATAGTTGGGAGAATAATTTTACGGAGAAGTGGCAACACTTGGCAGCAAGTAAACCAGTGGACCAAACGGCGACCGTCAATTGTAATTTCCCTGAATCTGCACAGTGGATTTCACTGGTTGACCCGAAGGACGATGTCCCAACATTTAATATTCAAAATATCGTGTCTTACTTTATTGAAAGAAAAGCTAAAGACAATGAATCCAACAAAGATTACAAGAATGTCAGCAGCAAAGCTTTCGGTTTGTTTCGACATGGTCACATCCAAAAACTGGAAATCGCTCGGGACGAAGATGAGAAGATACATTTTCGATGTGATTGCTTACCTGAAATGAGGAAAAACTTAACGTATAACGTAAAACTCTCACTGTGTGATAATGGTGAACATGAAGGTGAAATTACATTTGCTAGCTGTGCTTGCCCAGCTGGTAAAGGTCCACGTGGCTCTTGTAAACATATAGCAGCTCTTTGTTAAGCACTTGAAGAATTTGTGAGACTTAAGTGTGCACGGGAATTTGAAACATGTACCTCAAGACTGCAAACTTGGAACCAGCCGAGAAAGAGGAAGCTTGGCTCTCAGTCAGTTTACGAAATTGATTTCTCAAAAAAGAGTTATAGAAGAGAAGAAAGGAGCAATATCAAGCCCTTGACTGATCCAAGACGTCCATCTGAAAGGAACAATGATTCGAAAAAGGTCAACAGAGAACTGCTTGCTAAAATCAAAAGAGTGAAACCAAATTGTGGTGTCTTTTGTCTACTATCAGATGAGAAACTTGACCGAAATAAAAATGCAATTATTTCTCCAATTAAAGAGCACCCTGTTTCAATCACAGGGAGTTTTGACCGGGCAAAAAGAATTACGAGAAATCTCATGGTCAGTGATCAAGAGAGACAGAACGTTGCACTTGCCACAAAAGCTCAAAGTAATTGTCAGGCATGGTTTGAACACAGACGTGTTCGTATTACAGCCTCTCAGAGCAAGCGAGCATTAATAAAGCCTTCTACTAGCCCCACAAAAGCTATGAAGGAAATCTTACACTATAACAATCAGTACCAAAGTAATAACATGAAATAGGGAATGAAAGATGAAAAGAAGATCATATGGCTATATGAAAACAAATTGGATTGCAAAGTCAGTGAAACAGGTTTTGTTATATCTCAGAGTTATCCTTTCCTTGGGGCCTCTCCAGATGGGGAGGTAGATGGAGGACTAGTGGAGATAAAGCGAATCTTCACAGATGGCCTATCTCTAAAGGAGGCAGTGTGCAAACGTAATATATGCAGAGACATTTCTCATGGGTTGGTGGTCAAAAAGAATCATAAATTCTATTACCAAGTCCAGCAGCTGATGCTGTGCACTAAATCAACCTGGACTGATCTGGTACTCTCAGACACTGTTGATTTAATTATTTTACATGTGAAGAAGAACAACAAATTCCTTTCTGACATAGTCCCAAAACTGGAAAAGTTTTATGACATTTCTTTGGAAATAGCATTTTATGGACTCACTAGATTGAGTAAATTAACCCAATGAAATGACTGAAATCACAATTGTAGACTTTATTTCTTCTTTAGAAATACTGTAAGTATACACAAATGCAACATTTCAGTTGTAAGCATGTCCTAATTACTTGCTGATTAGAGACAGGAACATGTACTATTTACTCACTGATTAGAAACAGGAACATTTTGAGTTACAACACATGTACATTGAGTTTTGTAATATTTTTATGACAAATTGATAGAATATTCACTTGAACATTACATGACTGTACAGTCCGTTTTCACCGTCTAATAGATGACATGAAGGCAACATTTGTAAGAAAGATCATTGTTATTGCTAACCATCCACTAGTGGAGGAAGGAAGTTTGATAGCATTGCACAGACAAAAAATATATCAATTACACCACTCCCGCACAAGGTTATTGGGACAAAGTCTAAAATGTGGTAGTTTTTATTCTTTCCATGGCTCTTTCATCATGGATTCTTCAGTAGAGATGCAATCCTTCTTGTTTCCAGTAATTCACTTTCATTAAATTGGCCAGATTCATTCATGAATGCAGGAACATTTACTTTTACTCCTTTACACGCAAGCATCTCTTGAATATTAAAACCTCTATCAGCCATTATAACATCCCCATACTGTAGTTTCTCTGTAAGACCTTACTTGTGGGTTATTTCCTTGTCAGAAATGCTGCCACCATACAGGGTTGAAACAAATGAAATCCCCCCTTTTGGTACAATACCAACCAAGGCTTTCAGGGTGTTGCTATTTTTGTATGAAGAAAATGTTACTTGTTGAGCC